TGCATTAATTACATGTTCGGGGAGGGCGTTCCAAGGCTGTGCCACTCGAAGGGAAAAATAGTTTCGCCGACATTCCAGACGGCTGTACTGCGTGACTAACTTAAACTGATGACCTCTTAGCGAGGTGTTTTGACTGAGTATTAGAAGGGAATGGCATGGGTGGTTGGGGTTTCTCAGGATCTGGTACACCATTATGAGATCGCCCCTTAGCCGCCGATAACGTCCGCTGTAGATTTTAAGGGTCTTCAGCCTGAGTGGGTAGGGGACATTGCATTTGCTAAGATGTCGAGTGCACGTTGTAATTATCTAACCATGATTATTCCACACTTTTAGCTGTAGTGTGTATGCCTTTCAGCTTTTAGTTGAGCACCGACGTGCATAACAAGCATTGACTGTAGAAACATTTTCTTATGCGGATGGTTATTTGACTGGGATTTTAACCATGCTTCTTGTATGTTCGTATTCGTGTGCGCGCCGCTCTTATGAACATAATCCCAGTCCTTCTCAAGAGTATTGGTGGAAAGTAGTAGCAGAGTAATTATATGGCGTCTTCGTTATTCTTCTAATTAATAACTTTCCCCTTAATAACAACAACTACCTTAGAGCAACTGCTATCCCCCTGTAGTACAGAAGCTGGTAATTAGCATTTTCTTAAGTCACTCTAGACACCTGCCGAAGGAAGCCGAAACCAAAGTTATTCGGCTGTTGACCGCCTCCTGCTGTTGGTTTTATTCTATTTTATTGGTACGACTCTCTAATGAAGCGCAGTTTTATCAATTAGACCGGTTTTTGCATTTTACCTGCATTTCTTTGGAGTCAAGCCAAATGGACTACAATAATTAGACAATACCTATAGCACTCAGTAGGCTCACGTAAATCCCTGCTTGAAGTTAAGCGCGTGTAATATTTTTAAGAAGGGTGAGCGGTGTCTTTTGGTTTGAGCCCAGCTGCGACAACTATTCTGAGAACCCAAGAAACACCTCGCTACTGTACCGTATTACTTTCTCTAGATCAGAACTTTTGAATTATCTGTGTATTTAGACACAAGAAAACCTCCAGTGGAATAAATTCAAAGTGTACATAGCATTCAGGCTGTTTTCTGTGCACATTGTTGCTTATCTGCACCTCGTTATACAACCAGCTGTGTTCTGTAATCTTGGCTGAAAACGAACAACACTACAATGACCGCTAAAAGTAACATTCTAAGTTGCAGTACTGTAGTCCAACTGATTTCGTGACGCTGCTGGATATAAGGTTTGTCACTATTATTTCAATTAGTACTGGTGTTCCGAAAGAGCTTTTGTTGCGTCACCGGCTCGCATTACTTACCTTCGTTGATGACTAATCTAGTGCAGAAAACTGATGGGCAAGCTCACGCATCGATGCAAAAGGGCACGAACGTTTAGCAACCCTAGCTTGGTTTAACTTCACTAACCCTGGGAAGTTACTGACGTTTTCTATATATAACAGTTTAAAAATGCTGTAGATGCATGTTTTAAACAGCTGTATAAGCGATAGTTTAAGTTTATCCCGACTGTTTAAAGTAAACCAAGATACCAAAAATGTGCAATTAATGCCCTAGTTTCCTACAGAAGGGCACATTCGCAGTTTGATCCATACATATTCCTCTAACTGTTTGTAGTCAACACAAAACCTTGTGTAGAGATTTAATACTTAGACTTGGAAGTCTCAGTATAGCTGCAATGAGACAAAACCAGATGCAGTGTTTGAAGAGGGCAGTTCGGAAACCGTCCACTTTGGATACAGCCCAAGTATTCGAAATGCCAGAGGTTAGCTTCAGAGTAAACCGTTGCTCAAGCTAGATTGTGGATACCCCAAGACCCAGCAACAAATCCTAAACCTCATCAAATGGCTCTGCTGATAAGTTAACTGACCAGGTTTATCTGTTATGCATCCTTAGATTAAAATTCCTAGGAGTATGCTGTGAATGGTACGGTCATCAACAAAGTGCCCTCCATCCCATTCTTGAAAATTTTTCTACAGCACCTAAACCGAAGGGCAACCAACTGCGCTCGGTCGAGTGACGCAATTGAGTGGGATGTCCCAGAAACTACTTTGTTTTTACTTATCAGACGTTCACTTTTATTCCGGGCCCCACTAGCTCTTCACTCTCATTGCTTTTTAGTTAAACATTACTTTGCACCTAATGGACTATGCCCCTCATAAAATACAGTATGGTTTTTGTCATGTAAGGCCCTCCGAGAAGCAACATCAATGACTGGACTGAGGTCAGAATCTGTTTGGTTCAGAAGGCAAAGTACTATTAGTAGTGTAACCTACTCGCCTTTGAGCGATTCCAATTTGCTCTTCCTTGGTTGGCTATCTTTGGCGGAAAATTAACGTATTCATAGATCGAGCCGGTTGCTCTTGCGGACTTACAAAGCGATTCTCGCTCACGCGTGTGGAAGTTGCTTCTCGACTGACTGCGAACAATCGATCGAGCAGCCACTTGTCTGTGGTTTCCGAATGCATAGGCGAGTACCAGCACCTTTCATTACAATGCTCATAACAAGGTTTGCTCATGGGCTTGCACAACGTTAACAAGCATTGAGCTTATTAGTCATCATTATACAATATACTCTCGAATAACCATAGCCGTCTTCACACGGATGCCGTAATGAATCAGTTGCTACGCACTTAATGCTATAGTAGTGTCTGTCCACAATTTTGACGTCAACCCTTGAACATCCTCCTGTGGCTCTATAGTATTACTTTATACATAACAAACCATTGGTGTTTCTGTAAGTAGCAACTGAATCAGCCTCTAAACACAATCCTTGTTTTCTTACCGCATGCACAATCGAGTTAGTTGCTTTGAAGTTCAAATGAGAAAGCAACATCGGCTAAACCAGTTGATAACATCAAAGTTGTCTTCAATTAAAGCACATCAGGGGTTCGAACTTTAAAAAGAGAATCGCGGTAGCTCCATCTTTTTAGGAGTTGCGACGCAAACTATGGAACAGAATGCACTCTAACCTGATGGATTAGATCAACCGGCCGGACAGAATTAGTTAACTAGTTGTATTAGTAGAAAAGGTGTAGCAGCAGCAGCACGGATACTTAACTGGCATAATCTGAAGAGTTGTGGCTTGGATCACTGTGCTTAAAAAGGAAAAAGGTTTGTAACACAAAAGCATAGATTTTAGCTGTTGCTGCTGCTGCAGCAGCAGCAACAGCTGTCGCCACCCTTCAGTATCACCAGCGGTGTGAGACAAGGATGTCCGTTGTCACCTTTCATCTTCAACTTCGCTATTGATGAAGTCATGGAAACAGCGTTCGCTGAACACGACCTAGAAGGTGTGGAGCTACTTCCTAGTGAGCGACTTCTTGACTTGGAGTATGCGGACGATATTGCCCTAATCTGTGACAGCTCCCAAACATGCCAAACAGCACTGGACCGATTAACACTGGCTGTCAATCGTTTTGGGCTATGCTTTACTCCATCGAAATGCAAAGTACTTCTCCAAGATTTGCAGGGACCCAACCCTGCGCTAACGCTTGGTGGGGATTTGCTAGAAGTCGTTCAGAAATTCAAGTACCTGGGCAGCTATATTAGCACCCGTGGGATTGAAGATGAGGTTACGAACCGTATAGCAAAAGCTCGAGGTGCTTTTGCTAATCTCCGCCACCTGTGGCGCAGACGCGACATTACTCTCGCCCTCAAGGGCACAGTTTACAACGCAGCCGTCCGTTCAACTCTCCTATATGGCTGTGAAACCTAGCCCATCAGGTCAACAGATATAAAGACGCTCGTCATATTCCATCATCGCTGCCCTCGCAGCTTAGCTCATGTCTGGTGGGAGCACCGCGTGAGCAATGAGCGTGTTCTACGTCGTGTATTTGGTGTAGGAAGAGCGGGTGGACCGCTCAGCACCATTATATCACGCACCAGGCTCCGATGGGTGGGCCACGTGTTGCGCATGCCAGCACACCGACTCCCGCGACGTGAATTGTTTGCGCGTTGTGGGTGCGTTTGGAAGAGGAGGAGGGGAGGCCAAGTGCTGACTTGGTCGAGAGAAATGAAAACCCTCACTTCGAAGTTGGCGTCGGTTGGTGCCTCCCGACTGCCTGGCTGGGGTCCTAAGGACGGTGAACACGTTTTGTTGGACACACTTGCTGATATGGCTTGGAGCCGACCCCAGTGGCGTTTGTGTTGTGCGTTCCTTTGTCCATCCCCCTCCTGCTTAGCATCCCCCTCCAATCATGATCTCACTTGTTAGGCATAATGTGACTCTCTTTTACGGCAGCCAGCTGTTAGCTCTCCGGAACGATGTCCATCCGTTACTGAAGACTCAGCGGACATGCCACTGTTTGTTTTCCTTTTCTTATATTCTTTTTCTTGTATTCCTTTTCTTGTATTGCGGCGCAATAGCTGAGGTGTTTTCCACCTCCAGCTAACGTGTAATGATGGTGATAATGATGGTAAGTCCCCCTTCTCTCCCTTTATTAGTCTTTATTTCGTAGGTCGTCATGGTTGTATGGCAGCGAAGCATCAGTTCAAATGACTGATGTATTGCTGTAATTGATGATGATGCTGCGGCTTTCGTATCGCAAGCGGTGTCTTCACTTTCGGAATAATCAAATTTTGCGGGGGTTTTCCTAGACGTAAGCGGATGACTGGAACTGGAAGTCACTGTAGCTGAAATACATATCCCTTGGGTTTCCCGGCTAACACGACAGCCAATGTGGTAGCGTTACAAGGGGACTAGTACATTTCAAACTAGTGTTGTCACACAAATTCCATGCTTTTCATTTCGCCCAATAGAGGGCATAAATTCAGTTTCTGTTTGATATTGCTGGACCATCAGTCCATCCTGCATGGCTGGAAGTAGCCGGTATTGTGAGTATATCGGACTGTCTGGGGAAGCACTTGCGTCAAGGGCAAAATGTAGCCATAATACAGACCTACACAAAACCTATTTGTATTCCAAACGTTTCGAAGTTATGGATGACATTGTATCCTTGCCTTGCTTATACAGCATATGATGGTCCCCAATCGTACGACTTGGGCAATCCGGATGATTTGGTCCACTCGGAAGTGCAAGTTATCCGGCTTACAGACTCGCCACTTTCTGTGCAATCATTTGACCACCGAATGGGGACACCGATAGAATCAAATCCCAATAACCGTGAAGGAGCAGTTCGTGGAGCAGGGGTTACTCGCTCGAGTACTCAGATGACCTCTCTGGATCAGGAAACACTTTTACTTTCAGAAAGTGAGTTAATGGATTTACACCAAAAATATATTCACATTGCGTATCTCAACCACACTTTTTATAAGATAACTGTTTTGGTTGTCACTCAGCTAATCAAATTCGTTATCTTCTCGCAGGCGTCTTCCATCCGAGTTACAGTGGCTATCGGCAGTCGGCTGCTATCTCCAAACTCTGGATTCAACGACCGAGTTGTTCCTTGTGCATAATTTGAAAGTAGCGACAAGCAATGAATAATAATTTGTAACCGAGTAAACTCGCGGCTGCTTGACAAGTCCCTCAGAATGTTTGAAGTGGAAACTAAAAATTAGTCAATAGATAAGTGAGCCGTCAGGTTTAGCTTAGACCGATTTAACTACACTGCGGCATAATGACAGTTTGGAATGCGAATTGAATGTGTGCACACAAAGTAATATGGGGAGCAATTACAATTCATATACTTAGTGAGAAAAAGTATGCATAGAAATGACGACACACAATCGCCTGCCGCTTTTTTGCACCCGTGTGTTAAGTAAATTCATTTGTCACAGTAGCAGCGTTTAAGAAATGAAATGCAGGAAGTGAAAAAGAACACGTTGATTGGTAGTGTTCGGTTGACACCCGGGCATAGAGAGGGTGACATAACGAAAGATAAATGTATGGGTGTATCATTAAGACATCTTTTGAATACCTTGTGTGTGGGGAAGCAACAATGTAAGTGTGGAGGGCGTTTCATAGTTCGTGCGCGCTAAAGGAAAATAAATTCCAGCGGCATTCCAACCGGCTATACTGTGTGGTCAGCTTTAGCTGATGACCTGTTCTCGTGGTATTGTGATTCAGCTTCAGAAGGTGACTGCAAGCATGACTTGGCTTCTTCAGAATCAAATATGTCATTGCTAAATCGCCACGCATGCGTCGGTATTGTCCAACGTAGACCCCAAGGGTTTTTAACCTCACTTGGTAAAGAAGATGAAACAGATGTTTTAGGGTCTTGCTTACCCTTCATTGTGGCAGTTCAGGTACGGTGTGGTCGTGCTTGTAACAGCGCTGCCAGGTGTAGATTATCTATTCCGAATGTAGCCGAATGCATGCTCTGAGCATCTGAGAGAAGACTGATGGTCAAAACCTCTAAATGCCCAACGCCAAAAGCTACGGTCTTGCCTGGCCTCTTTGAATGCGTTCTTGGCCAGATGTGAACAGCCAAGATCCTCATATATTATCACTACTAGATCGCATTCAGTAGCAATACGTTGCAAAACTTGGTCCCCCAGCCTGTACTCACAACTGGATCGACGGCGTATGCTAGGTCTTACACTTGATGACGTTGATCTGAAGCAACTTATGAGTCGCCTATTCGAATATCCTGGCTTAGACGCGAACTCGGGACGCTGATGTAAAGGGCCAACGCTGGAACAATAATTCCCAACGAAGAAATGAGTCAGCTACCCTAACAATTGGCTGTTTTGGCTGTGTACAAAAATTGTATATAACAGCTCAAAACTAGAGGTTTATGTAGTAGGTTGTCCTCATTCGAAGTCATTACGAAGTAACATACACCTGTTCGCGTTGCTAGGTAAATCTCTTATGGGGTCGATATTTAACTGTGGCTACTGTTGGAGCATGCAAGGCAGTAAATGTAAGAGTTCTGCACGGTTAGCTTATGTGAAAAGGGGAACTACCTAGACACTAGATACGAGTCCGTCAACTTTACATAACGATCTTTGAGACTCATTTTATGGCTACTTATCGGAAGATATTGCGACAGCTGTCTCGCATTTTGCAGTATCTAGTATGTCACTGCAGGATAATCAGGTAATCACCTCTACCCGCTGGTGGCGGACATAAATGATGTACCACCCTGTTGCACAGAATAATGCGAGACTCGCACATTTTTGGTTGTCACCCATTGTGACGAGTTAAATGCTGCTAAGATAGGATGGCGTATTCACTGTGGGGCCACACCTATATGTTCGGCGTTTGAAAAAGGCTTATGGATGGAATGGGGGTAATTTTAACACATTTCACAAATAGAGCTGTCTTATACAGAAGCTCAGAGATGGCGTCCGCCTAAGTTAGCTGTGATATTGTTAAACTCGAAAAAGGAAGGAATGCGTCACTTTGTTCTTGCTACTAATAAGAAGTAGAGTAATCACACGGATTCAGTCACGTTTACCACAGACCCACTATCATCGTATTTCCGAAAATACGGGCAGCATTTGGTCCGCCTACTTCATGGCGTTGCTTGCTGAATACTGGGGTGCCGTAGAAGTTTACCACCATTCTACGCGCACTCTACCTTCAATCAACAGAGTTAGTGTCTACGGCAAGCTTTCCTCACCGCACACTGTAAAATTGCGGTGTGCGAACAGGGTTTCCTTATGTTCCCATTACTTTGCAACTTCGTATTTGAAGGCGTCCCATCGAGAGTTCTAGGTTTCTAAAGTTTTGGCCTAGAATTTATACGGAGTGAGCGCGCCACTGACTCAGATTGTGCTAGTGAGAACGCTTTAACTAGGGACGCCCCACAAGGTATGCAACCTATACTGGATCTTTTGGCGGTTGAAGCATATATACTTGGTTGGTATAGATGCCCTATATCAATCAAGGTTTAGCAACCTCATGACATGGTGATGGTAGATTATGGGAACTGCAGGTTTAACTAAGGCAAATCCTTCGTCATATATCGAATAATGTACTCAGATAAAAGGTCCGCATTCCTTTAATTTCTAGTGGTCGGCAGTGAACCAGTGTTGAAGTTTCCTGCTTCATTTTTCGTCCGTACAACGCTGCCATCACTGCAGCCAGATCACTAACTTTACCTTCACTTTCCAACGAATGTCATATAATCTAAGAGAGTTGTGAGCAGACGAGAATAAACGATTTTTCAACGGCGTTTGTGCAGTACAGGAATTATTGGCCGAAGGTGGCGATGGGCAACAAAAATGGGATTATGATTCTAGCCCGCTGTAGTTTTGAGAATATGGGAGTGCCGATGAAGTAGAGCATCGTCCACTCCTTTTACTGATCGCTTATGCCTACCAATAGTTGCGAGTTGTAAGGTTCTAGGACTACCTTGTCAATCCTTACAACTTACCAGAATACCAGTCTACAGTTTACTATACACGAATATTGCATACCTTGGACGAAAACCATGCTTTGAGCAGGTTATGGCTGCGTGGAGCACATCTTTACGGTGAAGCAACTACTCATTCATATCAGTTGTTGAGGTAGTCCTCAGAGAATCAAAAAGTGTCTGGGCAGCGATATAACTATCCGATATGAAGGAACAATAGGTCATTTTATGCTGTACATAAATTTGAATCATTCTGTTTACTGAAGTGCAAATTCAGTGGCTGATGCTTGTTAGCCATCTAACTGAGTTCATTAGCTCGTTCCAAGCTGTTTGGAGCAGTTCTATATTGTCTGAAAGATAAGTAAATAAACTAAACGTTTTATTCCTCGATGATGGGAGGCACAATTCAAGTGAGTGGACTGATCCATTTATACATCAAGATCGCATAAAATAGTTGATGGTTGGAAATATTTTGGTGTTGCTCATCCCAACATTGGTTCATGCTTTGTACGATGGGTCCCAAATGGGTTTCTGAAGTGAGTAGTAGTTTGATAGATTCGAGAGAGTAAGAAACTGGGAACAACAACATATGCAGTCAGCTTGCGCCGACGGCACCGATTGGCTTTCCATTTGTCGCCTCCAACTGTTCCACTCAATCGGTTGATCAGTCGCCATCGCACCCCGCGGCGTCCGCTAAGGGTCAGTGTCGTGCTCGGCCGACTCGCTTTACTTTGTCCAGAACCAAAATCATGCTTGACCCACAACATTACGAACCTGTTCCTCAATCTCCATCCGACCCATGTAAATTTTGGCATCTTGCGCTTTTGTCGCTGATTGACCTTCCAGTCCAGTAGCCAAGTTTGTGTTTTGCTCGCATGACGTGCAGACTACCATCACACCAAATATTTCGTCGACCGACACTCTATTTGTTGCAGTTTACAGATGGCGAGTGCGGCTCATCTAACAGGTATGCTGTTTGCGATTCTTCATTAGGAGAAGGAGTGACTTGGATGTACATGGTTTGTCAGAAAGTAATGTCAATGGGTGGATTAAAAATATTTGTGGATCCGATCAGTCCAACACATTAGAAGGTTGATAAACAAACTCCACAAGCGTCGATACCTAGCTTTCAGCGGAATTCCCAGGCATTGAAGGCGGTACGGTAGGCCTTTCTTGGAATGTCCTTTAGGGCCTTGGTGCAAGGTTTTTTTACTTGGTCAACCGTATCGAAATGAGGTTCTTCCATGGGAGTTTTCAAGCTGTAGAACAAGAAGTCTGGAGCAGATAAATCAGGAATGTAGAGCGGATGGGGAATTGTTGGCACCTTGGAATCGGCCAGTAAGCGGTTTACGAGGAAGGCGGTGGGTGCTGATGCATTGTCATAGCGAAGTTTCCAACCGTCTGCGATGTCAGACGGGGCAAAATGAACTCTACGTTTGAGTCGATTGAACACTTCCACTTAGAAGTGGGCGTTAACGGTGACACGTTGTGATGCCGAAAGCAAAAAGAACATGGTCTTGGTCATTAACTTGCTCACTCTGTCCTTCTTGGAGGAAGGGGACGCCTAGGTGAGCAACTCGGCACTTTCTTTATTTGTTTCCGGTAGTAATCATAAATCAAATCTCATGAATTGTGTTGACATTGTCTAGGAAGTGTGGATCCCGGGTTGCTGGAACCTTTCGAATGGGCGCGAGATTTGGTCGTCTGTTACCACTTTGGGTAACAGCCTCACGCACACTTTTCGCATATGGAAATTGTTAGTCGCAATCTCATGAACCGTACTTCCTGGGATATCTAATGTTTGTGCCATTAAAGGAATACTCAAACGACGGTCTGGGCTTAACAGTTCAGTAGCACGCGTCACATGTTCGTCGGTGGTTGTCGTTGATGACTTTTCAACTCAAGCTTCATCGCTGACCACTTCATGGCCTTCACAGAGGACTTGTGCCAC